TGTTAGGGGAAATTACTCGCTTTCAATATTATTTTGTGTAATTTGAGTGTAATCACACTTACAGTTAGACAGCATTCATATGTCTACATTGGACAGAACACACATACCAACTCAAAAGCTACCCAAGTTAACGAAACAGTTTAAATTCTGGCTATATTCGTATGTCTCTAGTTCGACTGAAGGTATGTTGACCTGAATGTTATCTAGAAGTCTTGTCAAGCTTAGTTATGGAAAACATTTACAGCCATGTACCTGTGCATATGTATGTTGTGTTATTCATGTGTACTAATGTTTCAATGTACTTCTCCTCTGCTCTCTCTCTGGTTTGTAGGCTTTCAGATCGGTGAGTGTTTAGTAGGCAGCAATACTTATCATTTAGCACAGTGGTGGATTCACTTCACGGTTCTTTTATTATCTCTGTCTTGCACTTTAAAGGTACAGGTATTTAAATCAGTTTATCCCAAGGATATTGTTTACTAAGATCTGTCACATAAACCAGTTGAACCACCCAAGTGCATTTGTTATATTGGTTTATTAATTTTTTTTAATTTACTCTTTTGCTTGCTTAAGAGGCACTGAAATTATTTAAAACATCTTGGGCTTAAATGTGTTTTTCATGAAGCTAGCACTATGCTTTGTATGTTGCACAAATTTTGTAGACTGACTAAGGAGATCAATTTTATCTTTTAGTAAAATTTTGCAATTATATTGCCAAACTTTTAAAATGAAATAATTTAATTTTGCCTGCAATTTTTTACAGTTTGGGCACTATATGTTTTATAGGTTTTAATAGATTTAAATACTAAAATAGTTACCTTTGTTAATAGATATCTTAAATCTTTCTGATTTAATATCAATCAGGAAGATGCACAGATGCACTCTCAATTGAATTTAAAATTTTATAGTCTGTAGATTAATATGGTATGGTTTGAAATACACTAACCTAGAAAGACTACTATAAAAATCAAGAGTTAAGCTGGGAATTTCTTCAACAGTGATGTTCCATACTTTCAACAATGTCTGATATAATGTGAAGGCTTCAATACACTGCCTTTTATTCAAAATTTTGCATGTACAGTATAATAGTCACCATACATTTTTAATTGTGTTGCAAATTGATAATTTATTATAAATATTGATACATAGTATAGTATCATTGACTATTTAATATAGAATGTATGTAAATGATGCAAAATGCAATGTTTAGGACAATTTTTTGTGTACAGTAAATAAGCTAAATTTCATCTTGTAGTAGTCAAAATACAATTTGGATAATACTCTAATCAAATTAATTGAAATATAAAAGATAAATGTTTTGTGTTGGAGTTGCGTGCATTGTGTTGAGGTGAGCATCAGTACATGTGTGTGCATCAGTTCTGGCTTTCTCTTTGTGCCTTCTAACCAGTCTTTCTCTCTCTCTCTCTTTTGTGTGTTCACAGGATAAAGTAAGTAAATGTTTTGCTTCTGTCTGGTTTATGAAGTAGCTTTCATGAACTGCATGAGTAAGCTTGAATGCATTTTCTTCTGTCAGTGTGATATTGTCCAGAAGATGTAAGCAAAAATACATGTCTTATAAATAACAGAACTCCACCAGGATCACTAATGCATGCTGGTAGTCTGCTGCTATTATAAAATACACCATGGCTTTTTTACATTAAAACACACAAATCAGCACAGAAACTCTGCATCCTAGCAAATAATAATAATAGTAGTAGTAATAATAATAATAATAACAATAATAATAATAATAATATTAATAATAAATAATTTTATTTATATAAAGTACATTTAAAACATGACACAGAGGAGAATTCTTATCACACAATTTAATTTAAATAAAGCCACTAATATACAGAGCACATTTATATTACTGAGGGTATAAAATTGGTAATGAACATATGAATGTAGTCATAGCCTTTAAGGTATGTTTTTGCTTGAATCTGAAAGCAGCAGCAGCAGCATTAGGTAAGAATTTGTTCAAAATTACTCGAGTGTAAATATTGGACATTTTCTGTTATACATTACTTAAAAGAATAATAATAATAATAATAATAATGAAGGTGAAGAAAAGACCCAATACACGTGTAAATAAATTATTAAACAGAATTTTCAGATGCACCTATGTCATTTATCAAGATGGTGTAAATAATGTTCTGAATAAAGATTCTAAGTGCTTGCATTTATATGTCCTACATAGAGATTATGCTCCCTGGGAAGCATAATCATAGAGACATCTAATGATGGATGTCACATGAGGTGCTCTGCCAGACATATACAGGTAATTGCAAGCACTTAGAACTTTTGTACAGAACTTTGTTTACACCACCTTGATAATGGACGGAGATTCATCAAAAAATTTGGTTTAATAATACACTTACACATGTAACTTCACTTCCATTTAAACACTACGGTATTAAGTTTCTTAATAATAATAATAATAATAATAATAATAACAATAATAGTAATTATAATATTATTGATAAAACATTATCCATATTTTAAACACACTTATCACTTGTTGTATCATGATCATCTGTTTAATTTCTTCCTGTGACATATATATATATATATATATATATATATATATATATATATATATATATATATATATATATATATATATATATATATATATATATATATATATATATATATATATATATATATATATATATATATATATATATATATATATATATATATATATATATATATATATATATATATATATATATATATATATATATATATATGTCGTACCTAGTAGCCAGAACTCACTTCTCAGCCTACTATTCAAGGCCCAATTTGCCTAATAAGCCAAGTTTTCCTGAATTAATATATTTACTATAATTTTTTTCTTATGAAATGATAAAGCAACCCTTTTCTCTATGTATGAGGTTAATTTTTTTTATTGGAGTTAAAATTAACGTAGATATAAGACCGAACCTAACCAACCCTACCTAACCTAACCTAACCTATATTTATAGGTAAGGTTAGGTTAGGTAGCCAAAAAAAGCTAGGTTAGGTTAGATTAGGTAGGTTAGGTAGACGAAAAAACATTAATTCATGAAAACTTGGCTTATTAGGCAAATCGGGCCTTGAATAGTAGGCTGAGAAGTGCGTTCTGGCTATTAGGTACGACATATATATATATATATATATATATATATATATATATATATATATATATATATATATATATATATATATATATATATATATATATATATATATATATATGCAGAAATCCACAGAGAAATGGGAAAGAGAGATGAACGTTTCGGCCAGTCTGGGCCTTTGTCAACACCGGACAACATACATATATATATATATATATATATATATATATATATATATATATATATATATATATATATATATATATATATATATATATATATATATATATATATATATGTATGTATGTATGTAAAGTATGTATGTTATTGAATGTGACCAAAAGGGTAAGATTAATGATTAGAGATTAACACGAATCTTCTCAATATTTCTTATGTTTTTCCTCACTGTCGAGGGTAGTTGAAAAATTAACTCTTCAAAGTTCATTTTCACACTTTATTTATGGTCTGACGCCTAAAAGTGTTTCGCAAGACACTTCTTACATTTTCAAAAACAGTTTTACATACTCTGTTTCATGCTTATTTTCATTTTTGGGTGAGGTGATAGGACACTAATTTTTTGGGTGAGGTGATAGGACACAAATCAATGGGTAAAGACAATTTTACATACTCTGGTAATTTTTTGAGGCGAGGTGATAAAACACGAATCAATGGGTACATTGCGTATTTTATCTTCTTGCTTCTGTGTTGGTTCGGGGTCTTCAAGTGATCACTTCAAGACCCCTTTCGGCGTCCCTAGTGGCCGAGGATTTGTGCACCAGTGGGCATTTGATTTCGGTCTTGTGCTTCTTTTCCCTGCTGTAGCTGTCTTCGGACTGGCTCGAGGAGGATGTGGAGGAGCTAGGTTACGGGCCTGCATCCAGTGCTCTTGCCTTGGCGACTCAGGCGTCGGCTGCCTTGTTAAGGTTCTTTGCGCCGATTCTGAAGGAAGTGGTGTCTCTGTTCTGTGCTTCATGCCTCGTGTGCCAGCAGGCGGTGCTCATTCACTCTTTGCAATCCGCTTGGGTCCTAGCTCTTAGATTTTCATCCCCTTTTTGTCTGTTCCTGTTTGCAGTCTGGTACATTTTCTTCAGGCGGCTTTGTCTAGTTGCCGGCTTATGTCAGACTTGTTGGTTCTCCTCGATGGTGGTCCTGCCCAGAAGGGTCGTACCGGGGCTTGGGGTTCTTTCAGTCGTTGTAAGTCAGTTGTGCCAGATTCGGGGCTGTCCCCTGCTGCGGAGCCGTCGGTGTCTGGTCGACGCAGTGATCGCTCTGAGCATCAGTTCTCGTAAGGGTCGTCGGTTCTTTTGCGGTTTGGCCCGTTGACGGGGGCGATGGGGGGTTCGCGCTGTTTGCTCTCACCTGGTCCTAAAATCTATGGGCATTTCGGGTTGTTTTCTCTAGCCTGCAATGGCATTGGGTGGCTCCTCCTCATCCTGTAGTGGGATCGGGGCTGGCAGGGCATGTTTCTTTCTCTGCGCTCTGTCGGATCATCATGGAGTTTGTTCGCTTGGGCGTGATCGAAACGATGCCATCGCTCAGGTGAGTTTCCCACCTGTTTCCAGTTCCGAAATGGGACTGTGCGGACCTGCAGTTCATTCTGAACTTGTCCCATCTGAACCCCTGGGTCTTTTGCCCCTTCTTTCAGATGACCACTCTGTCCCAGGTCCAGCTGCTTTTGGAGCCAGGTGTCCCTGGACCTATGAGACGCGTATTGGCACGTTCCTATTCGTCTGGGGTTCAGGGACTGCCTTTGCTTTGTCGTGGAGTGATGAGCTTATCACTTTTATTGCCTTCTATACATCTTGAATCTGGTTCCTCGCATGTTAACACGCCTTACCCGGATCGTGGTGACCTGTTTGCTTCTGTTAGGGGTTCGGGTTCGCGCCCCTGTCTTTGGACAGACAATCCGAAGACAGAGGGTAGGGGGGTAATTACCTAAGTGTAGTCACAGGATGAGAGCTACGCTCGTGGCAAGGGACGCACTTTGGGTAGACCTGGTTTCCCTTCTTCCCTGTTCCAGGACGCGGGTCTCCCAGGTCATCCACAGGATTATTCGGTCCAGCCAGCCTGCGGTCTATCCCCGTACCCTGCTGAACTATGTTCGTGGCTTTGGCTGTTGTTTTTGGTAATGTCTTCAGTTGACATTCGAGCATGGGGTTTTTGGAGGTCAAAAAGGGTCCTGGCCTCGTTAATTTTCCTGGCCCTTCTCGGGTGTGTGTGTAGCCTTGAGTCGCAGGTTGTAGCCAGTTGTCTCAACCTCGAGTTGAGGAGCGAGTGGCGGCCGCCTCCCGGGTAAGTCCCACTTTTCTTTTATCTTTGTTAGGTAGCTCCGGGGAGCCGAACGGGCTCTCCACAGAAAACCAGCCCTGCATATTCCAGCTTTGGTCTAACAAATGTCGTGAAAAATTTCTTTAGTATTTCTCCATCCATGTATTTAAAAGCAATTGTGTAGTAAAAAGTGTAGCATAGGCTCCTCGCACAATCTTCTTAATGTGGTCCTCAGGTGATAGTTTTCTGTCTAGAACCACCCATAGATCTCTCTCTCTCTCTATCAGAATTCTTTAAAGATTTCTCACATAATTTATAGGTTGTGTCAGGTCTATGTTCTCCTATTCCACATTCCATAACATGGCATTTATTCACATTAAATTCCATTTGCTAATTGGTGCTCCATATACTTATTTTGTCCAGGTCTGCTTAAAGGGAATTGCAATCATCTAAGTTTCTTATCCTTCCTATTATCTTAGCATCATCAGCAAACATGTTCATATAATTCTATATTCCATCTGGTAGATAGCTTATGTAGACAATGAACATTACCGGTGCAAGAACTGAACCCTGTACTCGCCTAATTTTGCTTGCGGGGGTTGAGCTTTGGCTCTTTGGTCCCGCCTCTCAACTGTCAATCAACTGGTGTACAGGTTCCTGAGCCTACTGGGCTCTATCATATCTACATTTGAAACTGTGTATGGAGTCAGCCTCCACCACATCACTTCCTAGTGCATTCCATTTATTAACTACTCTGACACTGAAAAAATTCTTTCTAATGTCTCTGTAGCTCATCTGGGTACTAAGTTTCCACCTGTGTCCCCTTGTTCGTGTCCCACCCATGCTGAAGAGTTTGTCTATGTTCACCCCTGTCAATTCCCCTGACAATTTTGTAGGTGGTTATCATGTCTCCCCTTACTCTTCTGTTTTCCAGGGATGTGAAGTTCAGCTCCTTTAGCCTTTCCTCGTAGCTCATTCCTCTCAGTTCCGGGACGAGCCTGGTGACATACCGCTGAATCTTCTCTAGCTTTGTCTTGTGTTTAACTAGGTATGGACTC